AACAGATCTGGAAAAAAATTCAATTTCATACCTTAAACTAGGTGAGATGACTTTCTTTGCACACAAAGTCTTTTCCAATCACCAAGAACATCAAACGAAAGTAACCCACCAAGAATTGTATGCTTAAATGGCTCTATCAACCATAAAAAGTTTGCTATCAAAAGCTTGGGTTTTTGGTATGAATATGGAGACAAAGTGAAGGAGATGTTGTTTTTAGTTCATAACAATTGAGAAAGAGAGTATGTGTATCGATTTTAAGTGCATTAAGAACTTCAAACCTTGGTTGTACAAGGTTGTTGGGTTGTACATGGTTGTTGGGAGTATTCATGGTAATGGCAATATTGTAAATACTTGAAGATGATGAGGTTAAGAGAGTAAAAAGGCCATTTTCAGAAAAAATATTACAAAAAAATTAATGGTATTTTTGTAAATAAAATGAAAATATGGGGTGAATAGGACAAAAACAAAATGAGTCAAAAGAATAAATTAATTTTGTGTTTAACTTTGAGTTTTGAGTCAATTTGGCAAAAAGTCCACAAACAATAATTGCTCTTGTAACTTTTTTTTTTTTTTTGTAACAGTTGCTCTTGTAACTTAAAATACACATACGTGACAATACAGTTTACTGGATTTATTGGAAGCATGATATATATATATATATATATATATATATATATATATATATATTAGGAAGCATGATATGTTTTAGCAATCAATATCATATATTGAAATTAGCTACATTTCTTTTACTTTAAAAGGCCAAGAATTTTTCTGGATTTACCACTGTAATCATATCTGGCTTTGGCTACTAATATTTACCCCATGCGTACGCACGGTACGAATTTTGTTAACAAACAAAACAAAATTTCAGTGATTTATACGTAACAGAGTTGCTGAAAAATATATATGTAACTGAAAATTTCATGTATAATTAGAAAAGAATGAGTTTACATAAAAAATGTTAACACACTTATGATTGTCTAACCACATACGTATAAAAAATCAGTTTAATCTATACTATATAAAAGTTGAGGCTATAAGCCATTGAGGACGTCCACATAGGATTTAAGTCCTCCAATCGTATAATGACACATCATTATATTAGTTTATTATTTTTTTTAAATGTCATTGTTTCCAAATTATATTAAAAATGAAATTAATATTCCATATATAATTTAAATAACAAAATAAATATTAACATTTTACAAATTACATAAAAATGTTAACTATTATAAAAATGGAAAATCAAAAAGAATTTAACTAAAAAATAAATATAAAAATTTTACAAATTATTTAAGAATATTAAATGTTATAAAAAAATTGAAAAAAATATTTACAAAACATTATTGTCTTTTTAGATATACTAAATATAAAGTATATTTTATACAAATATAAAATAATAATTTAATAGTAAAACAGTAAAAGTAACAAAATAAATTTAATTTTTTTTTTAAATACCATTGTTTCCAAATTAGTTTAATTAAAAAGTATATTATCTAATAAATTAGGCTATTAATATAAATTATTAGTTTTAAAATGTTAATATTTCCAAATTTAAGTGATAGGATTTCCAAATTTCTCGATATTAACATAAAATGGAATAAATCAAATTATTAATTTTTAAATTGTAAAGATTTCCAAATTTAAGTGTCTAGATTTCCAAAGTTCTGTATATTAACATAAAATAGAATAAAGCAGATTATTAATATAAATTATTAATTTTTAAAATGTCAAGATTTCCAAATTTTAATGTTAGGATTTCTAAATGTTTGTATATTAACATAATTTTTTTATAATATATGAAGTATTGAGTGACTATAAATAATTGTCTAAAGTTCTAAAAGTTTTCAAAATATATGTTGAGAAACAGAGCGATATTGGAAAGAGAAAAGAGATATTGATACAATGGTTGCTTTGACTTCTTCTTTGGTTTTCGATGATCTTAGAAAATGTTTTAATAAGATTGAAGTTCTTGCTAGAAGGATTCACTTTTGCGAAGCACGTAACATCAATAAGACTGGTTTGCTAATGAGTTTCGAGTTATTACTTATTGATCAAAAGATATGACAAAATTTATTCAGATATTATCTATACTATATAAAAGTTGAGGCTATAAGCCATGAGGGCGTCCACGTAGAATTTAAGTCCTCAAATCATATCATGACACATACGTTTTTTTATTTTTAATTTTTTAAAATGTTAATGTTACTAAATAAAAATAATAACAATAAATATGTATAAAAGAAACTTACAAAGTAAAACAATATACATAAGTTAATTTTAACATTTATAGATTTTCGGAATTAATTAAAATAATAAATTATCTTAACTTTACTATTTCTGTAAAAGTCAATATTAAAAAAATTATTAATTTCAAAACAAAATATAAATCAATATCACATATGGCAAACTTACAAGAATAAAACATCATAATTTTGCTATTTCTTAAAAAATAATTTCGAAAATAACATAAAATAATTAGTCAAATAATTATCTTAATTTTGCTATTTCTTAAAAAATCAATAGTAATATATATATATATATATATATATTTATATATATATTATATACTATATAAAATTGAGTTATAAGCCATTGAAAACTTTCACATAGAATTTAAAAAAAAAAAATCATATCATGATACATAATTTTTTATTTTTTATTTTAAAAAATGTTAATGTTGCCAAAAACATTATATATAAGTTAAGGTTAATATATTACAGATATGTGAAATTAACATTAAAATAACTAATTATCTTAATTTTGATATTTCTTAGAAAAAGTCAATATTAACAAAAATGATCTATTTCAAAATAAAATGTAAATCAGTATCAAAATTTGATAAAATTACAAAAGTAACAACATCATATATAAGTGAGGTAGTTAACTAAGTATATAGAAGAATTTTAAAACTTAACATAAAGTAAATATCAAAAGAATTTGGCAAATGACTATCTTAATTTTGTTATTTCTAAAAAGGTGAATGGTAACAAAAATCTATACTATAAAAATATGTTAATAAATACAGTTATTCATTACATATACAAAAAAAATCTTAATATTACTTATTTAAATATTAAAATTTTTTACATTTAAAGAGAAAATAAAAAAATATATTTTCTGAGTACAAAGAAAAATGATATATTATGCTGAAGTTTAATAATTTATTTTGTTAAAAAATATATAAATGTATGATGAAAATATTATAATGTGCTAACAATTTACATGCATTGAGAAATCTATTTAATATTTTAATATATAAATTAATATTTCCAATAATTATGAATATGTTTACAAACATAATTATTATATTTACAAATNTGAGTACAAAGAAAAATGATATATTATGCTGAAGTTTAATAATTTATTTTGTTAAAAAATATATAAATGTATGATGAAAATATTATAATGTGCTAACAATTTACATGCATTGAGAAATCTATTTAATATTTTAATATATAAATTAATATTTCCAATAATTATGAATATGTTTACAAACATAATTATTATATTTACAAATACAAATAACTAAATAGCTAATAAGATAACATAATTATAAGAAAACATAAATACTAAATTAAAAAATTATATTTTCAATAAGAAAATTATATTATTCAATTATTTTTTTTGTTTTAAATTATTTTAAATTATTAATACAGACTCGCGCGTAGCGCGAGTATAAAAGCTAGTTGTTTATAAAAGTTCACATTGATTTAAATTGTCTCTAGTTTGAAGCTTTACTTTTTTATTTCTTTCTGTCTTGCCTTTCCTATTTAACATGTAGATATGGCTTCTTTGGTTTACTAGATATCTGATACTTTATTTACTATTGATTTTGCCCGTTCTACTGGCGGATTAGAAAAAAATTACATAAATATATCATAAATTTTAATGGATATATCAAAATATGTAATTTATTATAATTTAAACTGATCTTGATTTTTCACTGTGTATATTTTATTATTTTGTTAGAAACTATGTTTATCATAATATTGAAAAAAACGAATAGATTACAATTGTGTTATTATACGTTTTTTCTTTCATTCAAAGAAATTGTTTTCCAATGAAAGAATAGTATGCATACAACTACCGTGGTTTAAATACTTCAAATTACAATTATAATAAAATTATATTATATATGTAATTAAAATACTAAAAATTACAATTAAAATTGCTAATATTTTTTTAGATACTTTTTAGATTTTTATTTTATTTTGATGACTTAATAAAATAGATCAGAGAACTGAAAAAGAAGAGGAATAAACTATTTAGTTATAAATTAAGGATCAATTCCCAAAAGCTAAAAAACAATGAAATGATTATTTAGTAAATGATATATGGTATTATTTGTCCCTCCTCCTAAAAACGTGGCTCTCTCTTCTACTTTATATATAGATAACCATCTACAAATAAAAACAACTTTACTAATCTAACTAACAATATCAGCATGTAATAGAGAAACATCAATCCATGAAAGCAAATCAAAAGTTAAAAAGCAGTAAACGATGGAAATCAATTAATAAATTCTGAAATTAATTTACTCATTAGTTTGAGAATAGATGATCTTTACTTCTTAAAATATGTTGCTATACCTTTTAAATTAAATGACATAAATGTAAGCTATACATGATTAAACAATGTAAACTTGAGTAAAGTACTATAATCTAAATGGTAAACTGATGTGAAAACATAGTCAAGAAATTATATGTATATGCGGAAAAGAGAACTGTAAAAACACCTTTGAGATTAATAACATTTATGAATTTGGTGTTCTGAATGACTATTTTTTTGTCATGGAAGATGATACATCAAAGGTGAAGAATAATTTGAGATATCAAACACCTGAAACAAAAAGTTGATAGCAGCAACTATGGACCAAATTACAAAGAAACTTAAACAGTTAATACATAAATGTAGCTAATATAACTCTTTTAGTTTTGTTTTAGAATTTATTCGAAGCATGATATGTCGTAGCAATCAATATCATATATTGCTTTTACTTAAAAAAAGCCAAGATTTTTTCTAGATTTACCACCGTAATCATATCTGGCTTTGGCATTATTTAGTATAAAAGCTCCCAGTGCCCAATCCAGCGGTGTATTTTTGGCTCCAGCTTTCTCCGCAAACTTGATTCTGCGGCCGAAAAACAAAGAAAGTTTTGATCAAAAAAAAAACCGACATTAATTGATGTTATTTGCAAAGAGTAATCACAATTTTAACCTTTCATCATCAAGAGCAAACCCAAGACTGTCATGAAGCATCGAGACAATATATGCTGATGAGAAGCAATACCCATGCAGATATCTATCTTTAATTGTTGGATACTTCTCTTTAAGTTTTGACCATTCTTCTCCACAGAAACTCTTTGCGGCTGGAATCATTTTAGACAACCAAGCCTTTTCTTCTAACTCAAAGAACTGATTCATACAGAAACAATAAGATCATTATTGTTCAAACAAATCAGAATTCGTGGGATTATTATAATACCTTGGAGGTGTGGTAGAATTGTTCTTTAGCCAAAAACTTTCCTTGAAGATTAGGAGTGAATGTTGATCCAATAGAACAATGCTTATAAGGACAGTTCTCTGAGTATTACACAAACCAAAAAGGTGAAGACAATTGACACGAGGAGGGATATATACCAATAATGATTCTTACCCTTTCCTTTCTGCAACATTGCGAATGTAAGAGATCGACACTGTGAGAAATTGCCTGCAGCTTGAACTGTGGCTGTAAGTCTGCTTTCTTCGGCTAAGATTCCGAATGAATCATTCAGTGATTTTTTCCCAGCGGTGTATCCTTTAGGAGTACAAGGGTCAATAACAGTTCCTTTTCCTGTAGAGTTTGCAGTTGAAACATTTTATATATGGCAAAAAATAAGAGACTCATTCAATGGCTAAACTCAAAAATGCAGTTATTGAACTTGTACAAACTCAAGTAAACAAAAAAAAAAGTATTTAAAATCTAAGATTTGTCAACATTTAACCTGAGTTTTGAAGTGATTTATACAAATCTTCCTGTGCTGTGTCCTGTGAAGCAGCGACAAAAAGTTGAATTTTAACATGTTGAAAACTAACAAATGATAAAAAAAGATCCATTTTCTTGAGTTACACTCAAAAGACAAATATCTCTCTCTGCTCTACAGAAGTTACCTGTCCATAATGGAGGAAACTGTGACTGTAGATTTTGTATGCAACATTTCCATAGGATATCGTACGCGAGAACTCAGGGGGCACAAACTCACTTGACACAAATGTCACCTAAAAGCAAAATCACACATGAGCATTTTCCGATGAAGACGAACAAAAAGGGAGGAGAGAGTTAACCTGTGCAGAAGCCCCTCCGAGTTCAACAATTCCTGTTGTTTGAAACGGATCACCACCAAGAGAACCAAGCGCATAATTGGCAATAACCCAAGCATATATACCTTCATCAGATCCTATATAAAAAATAATAATAATAATTAGTAAAAACTAGAAGAAGAGTCACAATTAACTCACAAGACAAACAAATCAACCAAAACAATATCGAACTAACCAGAGATAACAGAAGCCCATTCGTCTCTAAACATAAAGCCAGAGGATCTAAGAACCTTTCTTGTAACTTCAAGAATCTGTTGCTGAACAGTTTCATTAAGCAGTCTCATACCAGCAGTAGCCATCAGCCTGATATCAGTCACCTTCAACACTCCCACCGGAATAAATATTTTGGCGAAATCCACGAGATGCGCTACCATAGTGTTGGCCTCCACTGGATTATCAGCATAGGCTGATAATCCAGGAGTGAGCTTCAGGCTAAGGTAATTCACCTCACCGAAATCGAACACGGGCTTACCGGACTCGATCCAGTACCTGAAAAGATGAACACGTGTCCCTGAACTCCCCGCGTCGATAATGACGCTGTAACGGAACGAACTTTTCACATTCCATCCTGAAGAGGACAACTCAATGTTTGAATAGAAGACAACAAACAGTAGCCCCAACGTGGTAGTGATGATTAGCAGGAGAATCGATTTCGACTTGGTTTTACTGAATGTGTACGACGACGGCTGGTCTGGTAGAATCTGAACCATGAGAGGATCCTCCACCATCTCCCCCCGCCGATGAAGCTTCTGAAGCTGGTTCTTTGCTTTCGTAGTGGAGAAGGAGTTGGTTGGTCAATGGAAGCGCCTATTTTACAAAACTTTACATCTAACCCAACGAACTCGGTTTTGGTTCGGGTCATATTAAAATATTCAGTAAATTTTGATGCCTTAATCTTTATCAGAAGTGCTAAACTAGTGGTGTATTTTTTAAAGAAATGTTTTTATTAAAATGTCGAAATTACAAATCGTACTACCGCGTAAAAAAAAAATTCACTTGCAACAATGGAAATCGTCTTTTAGCAGCAAGTTATTTATTTTACAAGCAGGAAAAGGTGGCCACTTAAATTGATTTAATTTTTTTTTGGGCAAAACAAATCACCGGTTGTTGGCTCAAGATACTTAATGATGGTCGGAGACTCATATCCTACATATATTCCCATCCTTCTCTGTGGTCCCATCTTAGTTCTCTGTGGTGGAGCAATAGGAACATAAACGGCACATCCAAAAGTTTTTATATGGGACACGTCTGGCTCTTGACCCTTAATCAACTGGGATGGAGAATATTTGTGCTCACTAGATGGCCTGATGCGGATCAACTCAGCTGCATGTAGTATGGCATGTCCCCAAGCTGATACCGGGAGATTAGACCGCATGAGTAATGGTCGGGCTATCAGCTGTATACGTTTAATGAAAGACTCGGCCAAGCCGTTCTGTGTATGTACATGTGCCACGGAATGTTCCACACTTATTCCCATGGACATACAGTAGTCATTAAACGTCTGGGATGTAAACTCACCAGCATTATCTAGACGTATAGTCTTCAAAGGAAAATCTGGAAAATGTG